GTTGAGGAGGAGGACTATGATAGACTTCATGAATCAATAGATCTGCATGACAACTTTGATCAGATAGGTCTTGCACAGAAGGTGAATCTCCCGGATCTTTTGTCTTATTTGGATAAATTGGTAAAATTGAAATTTGAATCTTACTGAGAAATCTAGATCATTTGTTTTGAAGAAATGTTTTCTTTTTTACATTTGAGATACAAAAATGTCACTTTATTTTCATTTAGTTTCCTGATTTCAAAAGTTTATGGGAAACAGTGAAATCGGAAAATTTGTGTAATTAAAACAAAAAACTGTTGAATCAAAAGTTTTTATGTTCCTTCTACAAATCTTTGAAACAAGATTACATTTCTGTAACTAGAAATGAAAACGGAAAGCATTTTCTTAAACCAAACAACTCCTTAAAATTTGACCGATTATTGATTGACTTTAACTATTTGTAAGTGCAGATTGAGAAGCATGAACTTCTTGAGATGAGGCGTGTCGCAGCTTATATTTATAAGAAAGCTGGAAGATGGAAGCAGTCCATTGCTTTGTCAAAAAAGGACAATCTTTACAAGGACTGCATGGAAACTTGCTCCCAATCTGGTGACCGTGAACTATCAGAGGATTTGCTTGTTTACTTCATCGAGCAGGTCTATTTTCATTATCATGCTTACTTCCTGCCCTTCTTTGGTCTTAATTTTGAATAAAGAGGTTATATTCATATTATTCTCTTTGTATCTTCCAGGGGAAGAAAGAGTGTTTTGCATCTTGCCTCTTTGTCTGCTATGATATAATTCGGCCTGATGTTGCTCTTGAGCTAGCTTGGATGAACAATATGATTGATTTTGCTTTCCCATACCTCTTACAGGTACACCTTTCACTGAGCTTTCTTTCACTATATATTTATTAGTGGATGTAGTTCCATCTTTTTGTTGATAACCATTTTCTAATATGTGCCCCCTAGTTTATGCGAGAGTATACTGGTAAAGTGGATGAGCTTATCAAGGACAAAATTGATGCCAAAATTGAGGAGAAAAGTAAAGCAAAGGAAGAGAAGGACGTTATTGCTCAGCAGGTACTCTCCCTCTCCCCTTATCAAGTCCTTTCTTTTGGTACATACTGTATCTTGTATTTGACTATCAAATTAACGACACTATTTTCAATTCTCTCCAGAATATGTATGCCCAGTTACTGCCACTTGCTTTGCCTGCACCACCAATGCCAGGTATGGGTGGAGGGTATGCTCCACCGCCCCCTATGGGTGGAGGGTATGCTCCACCGACAACACCCCCTATGGGTGGTATGGGGATGCCGCCGATGCCCCCTTTTGGCATGCCTCCTATGGGCGGTGGTGGCTCCTACTGATCTCTTGGCTAAAGACAGGAGAAAATTTTGCTATAAATCTTCGTGGAGAAGAAGCTAAATACGTTGTTTTGGATCCACATGCATTGAAGATGAGTTCCTGAGGGTTAAGCGGTGAATGTAAGCATCTACCTTAGCCTCCAATGACTACGGATTCTTTGCTTTGAACGTTTTAGGATCTTATTTCTTTAGTCTATTTCCGAATGCATTTTGTTTGTCAATCCTGTGAGAGATAATTGAAAATGAGGCTTTAGTTTGGTTGCTGTATGTATAGTTGATTCTTTCAGTTATAATCGTTTCCTAGTTGTGTAGTCATGTAAATGTATTCTGATTAGGATTTCACACAAATTTTGTTCGTTTAATTTGGTATATAAATATCCATCCAACTATTAGAGATGTTCTATTTCTGCTGCGCCTTTCACTGATAGGTTTGGTTTATTTTGTTTTACTTTCCTTGTTTACCCATTCCATGAGATACTTTGTTAATAATATCCATTTTTATTTGGGAAAATTAGAATTTGTTCGTCATGATAAAACCCTCAAATACCAACCAGTTAAGAATAAATTCAGATAAACCATAACCATGTATGTCGGTCACTCCTTTTCAAAACTCTGAAAGAATCGTGCTCATTACTTCGATGACTGTCGTGATAAGAAAAGAAAAATATTTTGTTTTGTATGAAATAACTGAATTCATTCTCAATACTTTTTGTCCTGTTGTGGATATTTTTGGTGGAAAATCTTTTTCCCTTCCTTTTTTATGGTAAAACTTTATTGTTACTTTAGGATAGAAGACACATTTTTGAAGAGTTATTTGTCATTGAACATTAATATATATATATATATATATATATATATATATATATATATATATATATATATATATATATATATATATATATATAGGATTCCGGCGATTTTTGTTTGCTATAAAAAAGTTGATTTGGATAAAATATTAAAGACCCAATTTACCAAAAACAACAAACATGGGAAGGGAGCCAAATCTTACTACTTCACACGCTCAATTTAGGAAATTTCCTACTAGGTTTGTGAATACAAATATTCATAATTTGTCTGTGGACACGCTAATTAGAATACTAGAGTCCTCTTATTAGTATTTCAAATGTGAAAAACATGGTGTACATAATGATATCGCACACACCCAGCCAAGTTTTTCCTGGTCATTGTTTCGACTTCAAAGCCAACGAGAAGAAAAAATTCCAAACAAAATAGGATCCATTTTAAAATATTTTTATGAATTAAAAAAAAGTTTTAAAAACAGAGTGACCACTCCATTATCTATAGGAAAGTAAACAACTTTGTCTTGATGTATATATTAACAATATGAATGTAAAAAAGTAATGAGCATTCCATTTTTTATGCACCATCCCTTTTACAATTATTTTACGAAAGAATAGCTTTTTCACTCAAAATCAAACAGGATTACATTTGAATGCAGATCACTTGTTTTATAAAGACAAGGGTAGCACTCATGTTCTCTTTGCAGTTGCATTAATTGATCATCTTTCTAAAACATGCATGTAGATAAGCTTGGCACCTGAAGTGATGGGTTATCAAGTAGCACCACCCTCAATTCATGGCAAAAATATCACGCAAGTTAAGCACTAAGCTCCAAACATACCCATCCAATTTCATCTACCATTTCATTTTATATCAACCTTCTCCACTCCTTTCTCTTCAATAATATTTTCTTTTATTTTTCTCTCTCAGCATTGGATTTCCCTATCCATTTGGCATATGCAATTGTTGGGGCAAAGCAAAAAGTGTTACAGCATGAGGCATGCTTGAGATCCTGTGACCTTGTCCTGCCTAACATGTGGGTTGCCCAACTGTTGGTAAATTCAAGAAAGAAGAAACACACAACACACAACACACACTGCAACTTCCATGTGCTGCTAATACTCCTAACCCTTCTCTCCCCTCATTTCAGCCGCAATTCAAATACAATATTCCTTTTATGTCTCTTCACACAAAAGTGGGATCTTTCATTTTCATTAGTTTTTCGTGGCTCTTCATTTCTGCCCCTTCGTATTGGAAAAACTAGCATTTTAGTGTGCTTTTTTCATTATTAGATTGTCGGAAATATTTATTAGATCGATCTAATTAATCATTTTTAGTTTTTTTTTTTTGAAACTCAAACTTAAAACTGTTTTAACTAAATCCTGTGATTTTCATTTTATCCGTATTAATGACATGTTTGTTAGTTATTTAATTGTATGTTAAGTTTAAGTTTGGCCTTTTTACTATTTTTGCTTTAATTTTTATTTCATAAACATTTCTCTTCGAATCAATTTCGATTATAATAATATAATATTTCATTGGTAATTTACAACTAATAAAAACTAGTTATCTAATGGGATCATTATATTTTCATCCTTTTTCTTCTGTATAACTTATGTTAGATTGTCAAATAAGAAGCCTTTGTTTTTTGAGAGTTTCTTTAGATTAGCAGCTTCATTGATGGAACTAATTGACTATTTGTGTTAAATAAAAAAATTTATAAGTATTTTTAGGAAATAAAATATTTTTTATGAATTAAAATTAGTTTATCTATAAATTAAAAATAATATTTTAGAGAAGTCCATTTGAAGTAGATGAAATAATATGTTATTGAAATGAGTAAATAATATAGTTAATTTTATTTGCATCAAAGTTATTCAATCCTAATTACTCCAATATTTTATAAAATACTTTTGGATCGCTTATTTACTTATTTTTAAAATGTATTGAAACAATTGATTTTTTTTTAAATCTGATATTATAAAAATATTATTTTCGTTTAATTAAAAATATATGATAAATATTTTAAAATAGTCTTTAATATTAATTTTTACCGAATAAAATAATTTCAGACGTTTTTAAAACAATTTGTGTACTGTATATTATAATATTTTATGTATTTATGTTATAATTAAAATAAGTGTATGTTAATTAAACTTATTTAACATAATATAAGCTTTTAATTGTTTAAAAACATGTATCTAACTGCTACAAACTTTCATCTTAGATTGTATGCGATGTAAATACTCATTTAAAAATAGCAAAAAACATTTAACACGGACTGAAAAGTAACAAGGGATTTAAACTTAAATTTATTCACTTATTCAGTAAATGGTGTTATTTCTACTGTTTAGAGTTTAAAAAGATACATAAATGAATGAATAAGTGAGAAATAGTGGTGTGGATCCGGTTCACATGTATGAAGAAAGGGGTTTGAAGGAGACGTTGTTGATCAACTTCTTTGAGACAATCCTTCACACACTGCCACACACCACGCCAACTGGAACAAATCTCAAATTTAGTTTTACTGAAGATCACAATCAAACTCAAATATGTTTACTCTTTTAATTGGAAGGAATATTTAGAATATAATGAATATATAAGATGTGAATGTGCCATGTTTCTTGGCATTGTAGTGTCAGAGCCACAATCAGGAAATTCAAAACTCTGTTTTAAGTGTAATGTTTCCTTTTGTACTATTCATTGTTTAATCAAATATCTTTTATTTGGTGATAAAACATAATCAATAGTTTGTAGGATGATGGTGATATGAACATCTAATTACCTAATTCTATTAACATTTTCTTCATGTCATCTGAATTCTCATCCCACATCATTTCTCTCTTCACAGTTCACACCACCCAACTCAATTCATTGCATACACCTTTCCAGTTAATATTTTCACACCCCAAATCTCTTAGTCCCTTTTCAATCACGTGCAGTAAAAAAAGTAAACACCATATAATTGAAAACCGTAATATATTTAAATACATCGAGAACATTAAATAACACCACATCAAATTTTTACAACTGTAAATGCTCAATCTTCCCCTAACAATACCCAACTTTTCCAACCCATACCCTCCACCTCTGTTACACTCTTCTTCACCCAACTTTCCTATTTCACGATTAAACCCTCCACCATGCCAACATTCCAGATCACTCCCTACCCTCACCGCATTGCTCAATTCCCAGTTTACCCCTTCTTCTGTTTCCATTTGTGTTGATGACGATGATGATGATGATGATTCGTTCAGCTCAACCTCCCTCACCACTACCCAACCCTGCGTTTCCCAATTTACCCTCGACACTGTTGCTAGTTTACTGATTCTATCTTTAAATGAATTTTCTAAACTGCTAAATTCTAACCGCACTTGCTCTTGTTCACGGTCGCTGTAGTCTGACTCGGCGAACTCCGACTCAACCCAATCCAACACGCATCGAGGCGACGATTCAACTACAGTGTAGGGAAGCAAAAATGGATGCTGCAGCAGCTGATCGCAGCTCCACCGTTCACTCGATTCTCTTCTCAGACACTTCTCCAGAAAATCTTTCCCCAGCTCCGACAATTTGCTCGGAAACTCCGGCAACTCTCCCGAATAACCGATTCGACTCAGCGTGTCGACGCCGCGATCCTCCCACGCCGGTTTCCCGGTGAAAATCTCGATGATCGTGCAACCGAGCGACCACACGTCGGACTCCGGCCCCTGCCGCTCCCGGCGCATCACCTCCGGAGCCATCCACATCGGACTCCCCCGGGGCAATAACTCCGGCGAGGCTTCCGCTTCGAGTTCCACCGCCGCGCCGAAATCAGCGAGTTTCGCGGCGGCGCGGTTGCGGGAGAGGAGCACGTTCCTCCCCTTGACATCGCAGTGCACGAAGCCGCACGCATGGACGTCACGCAGCGCGCTCACGAGGCACCACGCGTAGCGCCTCACTAACCACTCGTCCACGTCAGCGCGGTCCAGGTCAGCGACGGTGCCACCTGGCATGTACTCCAAATGAAGGTTCCTGAACGACGCCGTCTCGCACGTGACGTCGTCGCCGAGATAAGCCACCACGTGCGGCGACGCCATGCGTTTCAGAATCCGAATCTCGTTCTCCAACGCCTCCACCTGACTCGGGAGCCCCGCTCCACAGTCGACGGACTTCACCGCGAAAACGCGACCATCGGTTTTGGAAACCGCGACGTTGACGACGCCAAACGCCCCCTTCCCGACGCACTTCCCTCTCACCCACGAAGCCATAAAATTGATTTATTTTCTTTGTTTTAGTTGGAACTGGAAAGTGTGGTAATTGACATTTGTTTGTGACTTCCGTGAGGGGGTATATATAAGCATCGTAGCGGGTAGCGCGTGGTGTTTGGATGTTTGTTAGTTGTAATAACATTCGGTGTTTTTCAAAATTGGGTTTGGTTGTACAGCGTGGCATTTTTTGAATGTGGATAATTAAGAAAAAGCGGTGGTGACGTTGAGATGGACATCTGAAAGTGTTGGGCGGTAATGTTTTCGACGTAAATGGAGGATTGTGGGATCCAAGCACTGGACACTCTTCTTTTCGATGGTTTTTTTTAATCCTTATCCACACCACTTCATCATTCTATTTCTATTCCACTTGTCACTCCACCACTTTTCAATTATACTTGGCCACCATAATCACAACATTAAATTTATTTTTGGTAAATTCTTTCAGCTTTTGTTTTCTAGATTGAATTGGACTCTACTATTAGGCAAAAATTACGCAAGATTACTAAACCTTAATGAATGAGTTTTGTTGGGTGAGAAGAGGGGTTCGGTTTTTATTAATCATTATTACAACATGAGAGGGGTTCATTTTTTTAGTTGTATTTTGTCCTGTTGCGTAGGAATATTAATTGGAACATGTGGTTGTGGAGGGGAATGTGAGGGTTTCTGGTTGAGAGGTAGATGTTAAGAGTTGGCAAAGGGGAACATAACATAACATAACACAACACAACACGGTGGTGGTGGTGGTGGACGGGGGAGCCCCACGTGGCGCAAATCTGTTGGTCCACGCAGGTGTGGAGAGAACGCTAGAGACTCGTAAAGAAGATCGATTCGGAGATGTGTGGAGATAGATGCCATGAATGATCCTTGTGTGTGGCTTTAGTCACTGGAAGGTTGAGTTTAACTACAACCCTGTGACGTGCATCACCCCAATTCCATTAGATTTTTTATTAATTTGTTCGCATTTTTATTTGGAACATGTGAAGAGTTTGGACTTTGGTGAGGTCCCCAAATATGGTAGTATCTTACAGAAGATGTTTGTGGGATGTTCTCTCTTTTGCGGAGAAATTTATGGAAAAATTGGGCACGCGGTTCCTTATCAAGTATGTGGCACCTGAAGTGATGTCATCATCACATAACCTTTCATTTGGGTTCATATCATATCTCAATTTTTAGTTTGCCTAATTCAGCCTAAATTATAAAAAGAAAAACCACCAAATTCCCAATTAAAATCACTGCAATACTTCACCTTAAACAGCAACATTACTGCTCTATTCCCCAACTTCTTTTTCTTCTCCCTTATTCTTTTCGCCAAATTACAGAATCTAAACAAATATGGTTACAACTCTTGCTTGCAGCGCGCCACTTGGGAGCGTGTAATTGCTTTGGAGGGGCGTAGAAATTAATTGAACTTGACCGAATAGGTTTTCAAATTGGACAAAGCGTTACGGAAAGGTTTGTTTGTCCACGTAAACATGACTTTTGCCATTGAAAAATTAGATACATACAACACGAGCAGAAAAAAAGAAAATAATAAAGTTTGAAATCAATTTCTTGATTATTTTAGAAGCCTTTTTAAAGTAGCTCCTACAATTCTAGAACCTTGCCATTTGGCTTGCAAATGGGTCCATGAACATGTGGCAAGATTGGGAGGAAGGAAAAAGTGACGCGTAGGAACATGTTTCTTAGGAGTTTCAATTTAGATCCTTTGACACTAAGACACGAAGATGAGGAGTGGAAAATTGTAAATAATAATAATAATAACGATAATGTAGTGTGCTTACTCGGTGAAGTACTTGGTTGGGATAAGGTGGTGGTTATGAGGGTTAAGCAACGTGGTTCATGACTTGACTTGCATATTGCCGCAACGCATCATCTCTTTACGTGACGCGGTGTGTGGTGTCCACATCTTCTCCAAAGTACATTCCCCTTCATTTCTACTACATTGCAATTGGTGCAGGTTGGTTAAAAGACAAAACATTCTGGTAATAAGTTATAAGTATTTACCACCTTCAAGATAATATTAGGATATTCCTTCTCGAATAAATATAAAATAACATCACAATAGTAATGTCAAATTTTTGTTAGAAATTTATTTCTCAAAATTTTACTTTTTATAATACACGTGCACCTACTTGGTGGAATTTCATGGTCAAAATGAAAGAAAGATGGAGGAGGAAGAAATAATGCAAGAGAAGAGAAGATTTTCTTAACGTTAGCTCAGCCATTTCCTTTATGCCTCCACTATGAAGCAAATTGAAACTAAAAACAAAGGAATATTGAACCCTTTTTCCTTTTCCTTTTCCTTTTCATCTTTAAAAGGAGCAGATAAAGCCATTTGATAATCAGAAGCAAAGACGTGTAATCCATGTTGTTTATCGACAAAGGATCAGAACCCCCAAAATGCTTTCTAGCATTGCCATAAAAATAAAAAATAAAAAATCAAAATTTATTAATTTGTTGACTTAAAAATTGAGATATGCATAAAAATTGGCGAGGGTTTGTTGCAAATTGTAATGGTGCGGAACTTTGTCTGGAAAGAGAGAGACAAAAGAGAGGTCATTTATGGTTTGCGAGGAGGCCATGTACTGCAACTGCACTCTAAACATTCCATATTTTGTGCTCACCATGCAAAACTCACATGAATCATTACCCAATCCCTTTTTTTCTTCTCTCTTGTTTAGTAAGAACCCATAAATTTGTACAATGTCTTCTGGATTCTTGTCCAACGCCATGCTTCACCAATTCATTCAATATTTTATATTCTAAAGTAAGATGAAGCTAAACCTTGGATTTATCGCTCACATGTATATTTTTCTCTGTGATAAAACTTGTATATATAATAAAGGATTGAAGTTGGTATGGTATATATCCTTCCGTGTTCGAACTGCATTTTTTTTTTCTACTCGAATCTTCTACATTTACCTTCTTGTAAATAATTGAACCAGTTTTTCTTAATTATGAACTTCCTAGCATTGATATTTTCATATATCATTACTCAAATATATATATATATATATACTCTGAGAGTCTAATACAGTTGCTCCACGTTTTATCACGGATCTTAAGATGCGTCACGTTAGTTAAAAATAGTACTAACAAAGTGTTTATAAGATTTGGGTGATCCTATTTCTTAGATTAGTATTTGATTGAGATAGGGTGTGGTAAGTATTAAAATATGATTTGTCTTGGATTAGAGGAACAAATTGTTGGTAAACGTCTTTGAGAGTTAGTACTCTTAATTTGACATTTTCCTCTTATTATAATCTGAAATACATGCCAAGTGTCATGATTTTAATGAAAACCCACTGCTCAATAACACACACATTTTTATTTTTCTTTTTTGGATTTTAAATCTATCTTAGAACATGTATAGATCTCGGCAATGTAGAAAGTAGAACGTTTTAAAAAAAAACAAAAAAAAAATCAACAGTGATTTTACAAATCTAGAATGAATGAGTACTACAGATGAATTAGATTTAAAAAATGGCGAAGAATAGTTTTTTTTTTTGTGTGTGTGGAATTCTAACTGATGTAAAAACTCTTGTTGACATCAGTTAAAATTTTAATCGATCTAAAAATAAGTATACCGTGTTAAACTTTTATGTAGAGTAAAATTTTCAAAAACTATCACCACCAGAGATGGATTCGGGCAAGCGGTAGTTCCCGATCCAAAATAAAATATATATTAATTTTTTATAATTATTTTTATATATAAATAAAATTTAATTTAATTTAATTTTTATCTTTCTATTTTTAACTTGTAATAAATATTACATAATCTTTCATTTATACAATTTTTTTCCGTTCTAATTTAAATTTTTATATTTTTCATTCTCAAATTTTTTTATTTCAAATTTTTATAGCTTTTTATTTTTTCTTTATTACTTATTCATTATCATATTTTTTATCATAATAAATTAATATATGACAGTATAAATATATATATATATTATTTATTATAAATTAGGTGATGTTTTAATATTTTATGATATTTTGTTAAAATATGAAAAAATCAAGTTGAGTTTTAAAATATTTAAAATATATATATATAGAAATTTATTTTTAAAATATAATAAAATAAATTTTAATTTAATAAATAAGGTTATTTTATATAATATTTTTGTATATTTATTTTATATAATATTTTTTATATCTATGAATCTCATATTTTTTAGTTAAATCAATATATATTATTAAATTTTTTATATAATTTTTTATTATATTATTTAAATTAAGATTAAAATAATTTATATACACTATTATCTTTCAATCTATTTACTGATATCTCTTTAGAAAATATAAGAATTGATCTAAAGTTCCAATGAGTTGGAAAACTCTAATTTATTACATTGAGCTTATAATATATTTATTTTATATAATAATTAAATTTATATACGAACCTTGTTCCGTTACCCTCACATTTCCTTTTTTATATCTGTTATTAGATTCGATAATGTAAAATATTAAATTTATACTTGTGAGAATACATTCATCGATATTTCAATAAATGAAATAGATTATGTGTTGATTTAATAAAATCAAATTTGATACTGAATCTAACTTAATGATTTTTCACGTGGATAGGCTGAATAAAATATTAATTCAATCTCAAGTAAACTTGATATATATAATAAACTTATAAAGACAGATCCTGTTTTTTTTTCTCTTTTTTTTTTTAAATAATGAAAAAATCGCCTGATTTTGAAATGCAAAAACGTGATAAAAAAAGAACTTTCAATAATTTAAAATTAACAAAAGCAATAAAACTTGAAAAAGTAAAGCGGGGAAAATGTAAAAAGTTAAAAAAAAATTTTGAATGTGTTGAATATAAAGAAAATATAGTTTGGAATTAATTTCCCTTGTGTATAAATCACACATAGGGTGGTCTATTTATAGTAGAGAAATACAACTAAAAGAGTAACTGAAAGTAACAGAATAAACAGAAGATATTGTTTGATATTGTGGTTACCAATATCTAACAATATCTTAACAATATCAAA